GAAATCAAAAGTCTGGTTTTGGACATGGTGGATTTGAGATCTGATAAGACATCCAAGTGGAGATGTCAAGTAGGTAATTGGTGACAAGAACCTGGGGGTCAAGTGTAAAATGAGACTCTGGTAGAACCTAAGGACTCTGGTCATTCCATGGGCCTCGTCCGATTCTAAGTAAATGCTTAAAAAGTCTCCATCTGCCCTAGAATCCACTGAGTATCTGAGGAATGCTATGGACCAGATATTATAAGGAACATGGATGGAATAGCTCTAGTCAGTTCCCTGGGTCCAGCTAACAATTTATTATTAACCAATGTTTACCAAGTGCCAATTCCATGCCAGGCACTGTGCCAAATGCTGGGTATCCAGTGGAGAACAAGATATGCTCCTTCTCGTCATAGCATGTTTAGTCTTGGAGGGGGATGTTGGAGGAAGAGAACGGTGATTTCAGTACAATGCAGCAGCGCTGAGTGCAGGGTACCGTTGGGCATGAAGGAGAGGCACCTAATTCAATCCTGGAGGACAGAAAAAGTACAGTCTAAGTTGACTCCTGAAGAATGAGTAGGGCCATAACCAGCTGGTTCAGTGGGTTGGAGTGTTGGCCCATATACCAAGAGTGCAGGTTTGATCCCTGGTCAGGGCACATACCTAGGTTGTGGGTTCTAGCCCCAGTCTGGGCATATACAGGAGGCTACCAATTGATGTTTCTCTTACATCAATGTTTGTTTTCTCTCTTTCCCTTCCCCTCTCCCTCCCCCCTCCCCCCACATTTCTTTCTCCCCTTCCTCTCTAAAATCAATAATCATATCGCTGGGTGAGGATTTAAAAAAAGAAAAGAATGAGTAGGGGTAGCCCGCTAAAGAGGTGAGAGAAGGGTGGCGAGTGTTCTCAGTGGACAAAAGAGCATGTATCAAGCAAAGAAAAAAATCTGTGCAGGCAAAGGACCAAAGTTCAGGTTAGCGTGTCTGGAGTGCAGAGTGAATGAATGGGGTAGAGACAGAGAGGGGCAAGTAGGGGCTGGAGAAGTAAGTAGGAGCCACACCATGAAGGATCCTAATGTGCAATGCTGGAACTTTGTTATAATGAAAGCCGCAGGAAGCACTTGCATTTTAAGCAGAAGAAAGAGGTTAGTGTACGGAGTGGGTTGGAGGGAGGAGAACCTGGAAGCAGTTACATCAGGGGATTGAGGATAGTGGCCATCTCACATTCATACTGTACCTAGAAGTGTGTCCCTATAATATGAGACAGGGCCTGGATCTGCTTTGCTTAACTCCAAGCTAATGGGAGGTGCTCTCCAAGAAGCGAATTACTTTGATGGAAAAAAGGCACAAGATGCCGACATTTTAATAGGGAGGAAGCAAGGTGAAGCACAGCTCTAGGATGGGACAGCTTCCAGGAAGGGTGAGCTGTAGTCATAGGGGGTGAGGAGCCAAGATTGGAAACCAACAAGTTACAGTCTTTCTAAGTACATCTTGCTTTGTGTAATATGTGTGCTGTGCAGTGTGTGTTTAGGACAGAGCCAGGATTCTGTGTGAGGGTGCCGAGGGCTGGGCGTGTGTTTGGGAATGGATGTTTGTGGTGGGACGTTCTCTCTGGGTCTGCGTTAATGTGCAAAACTCTGGAATGCATGCTGTGCAAGTACATACCTGCAGCAAAAAGGGAGATACGTGCTCCATATGCTGTAAGAGAACACATGCCTTTTGACGGCCTGCATCACAAGGCCCAGTCTCAAACAGAACAAGCTCTGGGTTCTGTTCAAACCTGGAGACGCTTTTGGTTCGCTTTACCCACAGCAGGCACATTTGTCGAATGAATGACTGTTTCACTCTTATTAAAATTCAATCGTTTTTGGAAATTTATAGGTTTGGTTACAAGTTTGAACTAGATGTTTTAAGAAAAATAAACTCACAGCCAGGCACCAACATCCATTTACAAAATCTAGCAGTTTAAATCCTGTAATGAAGTTTATAGCTAGCTTGAGTCCTAGCTTGTGTAAAAAACTTTCGCTATTTCATTTGGTTCAGCAAACATTTACTGAACACCTCAGCCGCATAGGCAGTACTGGACTGTTGCTGGGGGAACTCATTGCCCTCTCTCCTGAGCCACCTGAATCTGGGCGCTGCAATTAAGCTTAATTATATGCTATTTTGTATTGTTCCTTAATTGTTGCATGTGCATTAATCCATTTCCAACTAGGCTGTGTGTTCCTTGGGGGCAGAGATTATATTATAAACTTCAGGATAGGTGAGGGACTTAGCAGAGAATATACAGAAGTGAGTAAACACCCACTGTTTGAGGGAAAAGGAAAACTAGAACATAAATCTATTTATGACCTATAGTGATGCATGCTATATAAGATGCCTTAAGAGAAAGGGAGCATACGTTGTTGTTGGTTGACAAAAATATTCCTTTAATGATACAATGTAAAATTCAAGACTGCATCTTCATGCTGAGGGAAGAGTTTGTGTATGAATATAATTGCTGTAATCCTCCAAATGCCTTCGTTCTTGAGGTTCTTTTCAATGCAAAAAAAAAAAAAAAAAAAAAAGAATGTTTCCTTGAGGATGAGAGTTAAAAGGCAGAATTAGCCTATAACTGGATTTCTCAACAATGGCGTGATTGACATTTTAGACAGGTAATTCTTTGTAGTGTATATGTTGGGGGGGAGCGCTGTCCTGTGCGTTGCAGGATATTAAGTATCATTGTGAGCCTATAGTTATTAGATGCTAGTAGCAACCCCCACTTTTGTAACAATCAAAAATGTCTTCAGAAAGGTTCCTCAAAAAATTAAAAATAGAACTACCTTATGACCCAGCAATTCCACTTCTGGAAGAAATCCAAAACACTAATCCAAAAAAGATATATGCCACCCCTATGTTCATTGCAGCATTACTTGCAATGACCACGATAGGGAAGCAACCCAAATGACCATCAATAGACAAGTGGATAAAGAAGACAAGGTACCTATATATAATGGAATGTTACTTGGCCACTCAGCCATAATAAAGAATGAAATCTTGCCATTTGTGACAACATGGATGGACCTAGAGGGTATTATGCTGAGTGAGATAAGTCAGAAGGAGAAGACAGATACCCTATGATTTCACTTACATGTGGGATATAAAGGACAAAATAAACAAACAAAACAAACAGACTCATAGATGCAGAGGGTTGCTGAGGCGGGGGTGGCGTTGGGGAGCTGTGTGCAAAAGGTAAAGTGATTAAATAGTGCAAATTGGTAGTTACAAAATAGTGGAAGGGGTGTAAAGTACAGCATAGAGACCATAGTCAATAATATTGTGATAACTATGGTGCCAAGTGAGTACTACAGTTATGGGGGGGGGGTGATCACTTCATAAATTATACAATTTCCTAACCACTGTTCAGTACACCTGAAACTATTATGAAATAATATTGAATATCAAACATAATTTAAACATTTTGGATATAAGAGGCAAATTGGACCATACACAAATTAAAATATTTCCAAAATATTGAAAAAATGTCTCCAGACATTGCCCTTAGTTGAGAACCAATGTCCTATAGGAATTTTGGTTCTACTTACTTTTCTTATTCAACCAATGGTAAGAAATAGGGGAAAGGACATAATATTTATTGCTTCTTTGTTCTTAACAAGGAACTGTACCTACTTTTTAAAAAAAAATTCATCCTACAGATTAAGAAGCTGAGGTTCAGAGAGATAAAAGAACCTGCTGAAGATCATAAAGCTTGCTCAGCAGTTTAATCAGGATTGCACGCCAGGCTTGTCTGACGGCAAAGCCCTTAGGCCTTTCCAGCACATTCCCCACTGCCTCTCTGCAAGAAAAACAGCGTATCTCACATTGAAGGCTGACTGCACATTCAACAAGTATGGCCAAAATATTTAAAAATTTTTTGGTGGAGGCAATTATTACGCTCCTAGTCATTACAGAAATTTAAATATGAACATGCAAGCCCACACATACAGACACTGCGGCCCTTCATTACCGTTGCGCCTCTGGTCTTATCTCTGAAAAACACAGAGCAACACAATGGAACAGCTTCAATTCTCCTTGTTACAAATTATACAAAAGCCAGAGCCTAACGGTGCCAAAAGCAACTGGTCTTGTTTACACAGGGCTGAAAGCTAATAGTTAACTTTCTCCCAGTCCAGAAAAAGTAAATAACACCTCACTTTGGAACTACAATGAGTAAATTCGCGTGAAATGACATAAAATGGAGAAGAAAACATTAAATCAAAAGAAAAATGGAAAGGTTGGTTCTAACGCTCGCTCGCTCTCCCGCTTTCGCTAGCGCTTCGGGCGGGTCCCGGCTGCGAGGCCCGGGTCCCTATCGCCCCCGCCAAGCTCCCACCGGTGGTGCCTGGGGTTTTCTGGTTTCCTTTCCCGCCGTGGGGTAGCGCGGCCTCTCTCGGAGAAGCCTGTCCCAGAGCCAGGCCTGAAAAACAACTGCAAGAAACTTTGGCTCGGTTGGCTGTTCAGTGCAAAAAGGCACTCCAGTTTGATTCGGGGCTGCAGCCGCTGGTTCCGATTTTGGGGTGGGGTTGGGGGGTGGGTCATAACTTGGTCAGGTTCAAGGGCGCATGTGTGCGAGAGGAGTCGCTTGGTAACTTATTGAGTGCCCACTGTCTACGAGCGGCCGGGGGTGTGCATCCAGGCGCGTGGTAGGTGTGCGCGGAGGGCACTGGCGCGCGTGGCCGGCGAGAGGCGCGCAGGCAGCGGGTGCGCGCGGAGCCAGGGGCTGGGGGGCGGGGAAAAGGGGTGGGGGGCAGTGGGAGGGCGGCGGGGGGGTGTGTCCCAGAGTCTCGCTCTTTCACTCGCTGGCTGGCGCGCTCCTCCGCTCCCTTCCTGGGCGGGAATCCGGGCCGGGTTGTGGCCGCGGCCGCGTACGTGAGCGCAGTGTCCCGGAGAGGGAGGGCAGGCCGGCCAGGTGGGCGCGAACGGAGCCTCGGCGGGCGGGCTGCCGGAGCGGAGCCGGGCGGTGGGCCGCGCCGGGTGGGTGGGCAGGGGCGGCGGCAGCTGCAGCCCGGAGCCGAGCGGAACTGTCCAAGCCAGAGCTGCCCGACCCGCGCTGCTGCTGGTGGCGGGGCGAGGTGAGCTGCGCGGGGACCTCGAGACGCTGCAGCCCGGGGACGGGGGCGGCCCGGAACTTCCCACGCTGCGCACGCCTGCGGGGGCCAGGTCGGCGGCCTGAGGGCCCGGGAGGCCGGCGCGCGGGGGGCAATGGCGAGCCGGGGCGCGGGGACGCTGCGGCAGTGCCCGCGCTGGCTGGGTGGGGGTGGCCGCCCGCTTTCCCGTGTGCCGCCTTGTTTATTTCGCTTGCCGCCGGCGCTCTCCGAGGCACCCCCTCCCCAACTTTGAACGGCTGTCCAGAGTCGTCTCTCCAACGGAGATTGACCTGCCCCCTCCCTGACCCTTTCCGGCTGGGCCGCCAGCCCAGCCCTCCCGGCGCCCCGCGTTCCTGCCCACTCTACCGAGCTAGCGAGTGCCGGGCTCTGGGACGCGCGGCCCGACACACCCTCCACCTCGGGGGCTGGCCCCCACCCTTTCTGTCCTCTTCTGTCCACCCCCACTTCCTTCCGCGCCGTTTAACCCTGCCTCTCCTCACTGGTGGCCCCTGGCCCTGTGAGCTGGCACTGTGGGCATGTGGGGTGCCCCGTAGGGGCCTGGCTGGGGAGTTTGTCATGTGCAAACAATTTCAAAGGCAGCATTTCCCCACCCTGCCCAGGAGTTTAGGGCGCAGCGCCTTCACTTTAGGGTTGGTTCAGAAATCTGAAGAAGCCCACCTGCCAGGCGGCGAGAGGGTGCCGCCACCTCCTTGATTTCAGGCAGCTCAGGCCAATTCCTGGTGGCTTTGGAGCACTTCCACCAGGCAGGCACGGTGCCAGGCTGCTGGGCGCAAAGGGTACTTATAGGCCACCACTATGTTCTTTATGCCCCTCTTTCCGAAAAAAATGTATCTGGTGTAGTTTGTCTGAAAGTGAGTGATCAACAGATATTGAAGGTCTTTTTTTGACACCCTCTCAAGGTGTTGTGTAAACAGAGGTTTGGGGCTCAAGGAACTTGAAACACAAGGAAACATAGCAATTAAGTTCAACTGCACAGGTACTTTTGAGGGGCTGCTGCGTTCTCAGCACCATGCCAGGCTCTCTAGGAGATGATAAGAGGCACACGAATCTAAGGCCTTAGAAAGCCTGTTGACCAGGTGGAAGTGATTTCAGAGCTCAAGTTCAAATTAATGTGTTATGGCTGCCTAAATTACTGTAAATGCTGGGGGCAGCGGGAATATCAAAGGAAAGGTTAGAGTTGGGGAATGGATTTACAGTACTAAGTTCTGAAATAAGTTACGCACTGGAGAATAACTGCCTGGCAAAGGCCCAAAGGCAGGAGAGGAAGAAGTAACAGGTGCAAGAGGTTGCAAAGGAACTACCAGAGGAGAAGAGGTTCCAACAGTGATCTCGGTGAGGGAGGATATAAAAGGTACATGAGGTGATGTCCTCCACGGTTTATAATCTAATGGAGGAGACCGGAAGACCTGGGCAGGTGAAGTAAAACTCAAGATAGGGCACAATTAACTTAAAATGCAGCCTACAGAATAGGTGCTGTTGGAGTTCAGAGAAGAGAGCATGGGCAGGAGTCACCAGGACTATATTCTTGGAGGATGAGGTCCTTGAGATGGGCCATGAGGTGTGAATGAGCATGGTTTTCCCGAGACAAGGAGCTGGCCTTGGCCAGACCAGGGAATGTTTCCTGAACAATAGTAGATAAAGATGGAGAGGAACAATGTTTGAGATTGTGAAAGTCCTAGAAAGCCAGACTGGGGAATTGCACTTTACCCCATGTGTACTGGGGAGACATTAAAGTTTGTGAGGCAGAGAGTGACATAAGGAAAGGGCATGTGGAAAGGTTTTAAAAAGTAATGTTTGGAGACAAATCAGTTAGCCAGTTACAGTGATGGAGTGCCCAGGGTTTGGACTGGGATAACTGGAAATGGAAGAGAGGGTGAGTTTTAGAAACAGTACTGTTGAAATAATCTGTTGACAGGAGCAGGGTGAAGGAAAGAGATGAATGGAAATTAATTCCTTGTGGAAATTGATTACACGCCAGGGCCTTGGAGCTGCTATAGTTGGTAACTGGAGAAATCTGAAATGTGTGTTTTGGAGAGAAGTAATTGACACTCAGGCTGCGGAGGTTTTGTGTTTGCCAAAACATCCAAACATAGGTGTCCTGCAAGCAACTGTGACTCTGAGATTGAGGGGAAACTAAGGTGTGTCGTGTGGGAAAGGCTGCCAAAGCGAGGAGAAGGAAGGCACTCCTGAAATAAATGGGGTGTCTTCTTGGTCACCGGGAGGCAGTGGTGAGGGTCCGAACTGCGATTCAGATGACATCACCTAGCCCTGAACCTGCGCTTGGCAAAACAACTCTGGGAAATTGAGGCTCCAAGGAGAATGGGCCACTTATTCTAACCATGAGGGTAATTGAAGGGGAGTAGAATGGAATTTGCTAAAGACATAAATTGTTGGGTTTTGAGCCGAGCTGATTTCAAAACCACTGGATTTGCTCTCCACTGAGACCTTCAGGCTAGTCCTGGTGTCCCACTCATGGGTGGGGGTGGGGAGCAGCAAGATGATCTAAAGGAGCAAGGTGGAAATTACGGGCTTAGGGGTACTGCCTTTCCCAGGGCCAGGTCAGTCCCACCCCAAACCATTGCCAGTTCCCAGGAATCCAGCCACCTGCTGGCAGGGGTTTTGCCCAAGCTCTGAATTCTGCTTTCTCATTACAAGGGGGACTTAGAGTGATTTGCTGAGCCAGTTCTCCAAACTTCCACTTGCAACATTTGAGGGCTGGTGAATTGGAAGGATGATTGCAGAAAGTTGCAGAATGCGTGGAGCATGTAATTGCAGTTCCTCAGCCCCTCTCGCTGAGGTGCAGGATGGGGGATCTAGCAGGGGAGGCTGAGTTGCACAGGGAGAGGTGTCCATCAGATATTTTTTCTTCATAGGGAATATGTGATGGTCACAAAAAATTGCATGGGGCAGATGTTGAGCTAATATACTCTTTATAGAGCAGTGTTTTCTGCACTGCTTTGACCATGACCTACATTAAGAACTAAGACTTACATCACGGCCTAGTACACTCAATCATGTATGTAAAAATCTAATTTAAGTTCATGAAGTACTACTTTCCTTGGTTTCATGCAATCTCCTCTGATACTTTTATTTTCTATTCTATTGCTTTTTATTTAAAAATGACTACGTCTCCCAATAAATTGGTTTAACCACTCTATAATGGATCTGAACCCCCAGTTTGAAAAACACAGATATAGAGAACGTTCACATTTTGTAAGTATTTATTAAGATGCTCATGCGCAGAGCTACTCTTACCAGTGCTGTATGTGGAAGGGAGCATGAGGAAGAGACTGAAAATTGACAGGCTAGTTGGAGAGTTAAGATATACCTATGAGTAAGGAGCAAGGCAAAATGATCCAATGCCAGAATGAAAAATAAGTAGCCGTAGACTTCAGAGGAAGGGATGAGCAGCCTTTGCTGGAGTGGCTTGGAAAAACTGTTTGGAAAAGGGGAGGAAGTTTAGGAGGAGCCTTTTTATGGTGCTGCCCCGGCAGGGAGTGCAGCGTGGGCCAAGGCTCGGAATGGGGATGTACACGCTGTGCCGAAGGGTGATGAACAGAGAGTAGGGAGAAATCAGGTTGGCCGCGTGGGTCAGGATTACAACGTAGTGTAGAGACTGTAAATAGGTGGCCCGAATGTGTTCAGCCTTCAGATATGGTACAATTTGGACTACCCAAAGGTTTTACAAACTTGGAAGCAATCTAGAAAAACCTCTGGATTTGGGATCATCTTAAAGAATCAGGTCAGGCAGGCTTCCAGGGCTGAGTGGCGGCTGCTCCCTGGGTAAGGGAGTCAGTTGCCATAGACCCAGTGCTCCCTGTTGCCTTGATCCAATGGCTTTACATTCCCTGCTTAGTCCAGCGGGTCTCAGTTGGCAACCTGAGTCTTCAAGAGGAGCCTGACATTATGGAACCTCAGATATTTGTGTGCAAATGATGTGTTTTAGGCAAGTCAACAGCACTTTCTGAGTTGCTGTTGGTTGGGACTTTGCAATATTTTTTGATGGATTGGAATGGTGCTAATTAGAGTGTTTTGAGACATTCTTGATAGTGAGGTAAATTTCTAGTGACCTCAAGATCTCTCAAGCCCTCCCGTTTTCCACCCCTGGCTGCCATGGTTAGATCGTGGCTCCTGGCATGTATCCTCTAAGAACAACGTCAAGGTAATAATTTGGTGAGATGTGAGTCATGACTGCCGAGTGCCGTGTGACATTAGACTCTCAGGAGCTTTGGTTCTGTGAGTCAATAATAAAGGAATAACAAGGAGAAGAGCTCTGTCATTTCTTCTCTTATATCTTCACTCCTAGGATGGCCCCAGGGGGAGGCCTCCAGGATCCAGAGATTCGTAATACGGTAATACGGAATAACTGGTCAGCCCAGGTGTTAATGCAAACGACTTCTGGGAAACCAGGCTGCTTTTAGGGCCAGCTAAAGTAAGTTCAGGTCTCTGTGGTCCTGAGACAGTTTGGTTTACCTGGGAGTCCATAACCACCTGTTACGCTGCCCCAGGTGAGCCACAGGTGAGAGGGACTGAGCGAAAGGGGTACTGCCTTTCCCAGGGCCATCAGATATTTTAAGATTTTATTTATTTTTAGAGAGAGGGGAAGCAAGAGGGAGGGAGAAAGAGAGGGAGAGAAACATTGATCAGTTGCTTCCCACTAGGGACCTGGCCCCCAGCCCAGGCATGTGCCTTGATCGGGAATCAAACTGGTAACTTTTTTGGTTCACAGGCTGGCACTTAAGCCCCTCAGCCACGCCAGCTAGGGCTGATTATTTTAAAATATTGTTTTTGTGCTCTGGCTGATGTGGCTCAGTGTATTGAGTGCCAACCTGTGAACCGAAAGGTCGCTAGTTCAATTTCCAGTCAGGGCACATGCCTGGGTTGGGGGCCAGGTCCCCAGTTGGGGGCGTGGGGGCGTGTGAGGCAACCGATCAATGTCTTTCTCACACATTGATGTTTCATCT